TGCTTGGCTTTTGTTTCCTGATTTGCTTGATTTCTGATTTGTAATTTGCTTTTTCACCTCGCCTTGTGTGTGCGTCTCTCCGACAAAGGTCAAGAAAAAGCACCGAAGGTCCAGAAAAAGATGTCTCGGTTCGAAAAAAGATCCGGGGCTCGCTACAAGATGTCTCGGGGCCGAGAGAAAGACTGCTCAAAATAATGTGTAAAGGTTGAGAAAAAGATTGTGCTCATTTTTGGGGCCTCATTGCGGGGGCTGAAAAAAAGATGGAGGTCGAAAAAAAGACATGCCGCGGCCGAAAACAAGATGGACCAATCGCGTGGTCAAGGAGAGCTTGTGTCGAACAAGCGGGAGGCAATGGGCATCCGTGCAGGGGCTTTCTACTGGCTGTTTGAAGTGCTGGGGCACTTTACGATATGACGACGTTCAGCATCTGTCACCGCAAGCAGTCAGGTTCTTTTCAGATAGATTCACAGCCATCCTCTACGAGACGAAGACCAGCGGCCGGAGCGCCGTGGTCGAGCTTCCATTACAATCACTGAGGATTCCTGGATCTGCAATAGAGATTGGTTGAGGGATGGCTGGCAGCTTTTCCAGACACATGCTGACTTTAATCGTGATTATTTTCTGCCGGCTTTGAGTGATGATTTCAGCTGCTTTCGGAGACGGATGGCCAGCTATCCGGAGGCCGCTACGCTGACGGCTGCAGTGAATGGGCGACTTACGAACGTTGAGGGTCGAAGGTTGATCCCGCCGGAGTTAGTCGAGATGTGGACCGAGCACAGCGAGCGGGCGACACTGCCCACCATCCTGGATGGGTTCGGCCTGGATCCAAGGGACAGAAACGCTTTCGGGAGATGGAGGCCGGGAAGTGACATTTACAGTAGAAGTTTTTCTGGCAAGATTCGCAGAATTCATCGGTATTTTACAGCGGAGATTGAGAAACTGCGACTGGCTGGGAATGTTGATGATTATGATGTGCTCGAGGCAGCTTTCGCCTGGCTTCGCTCCAGACGAGGATTCTCTGCTGAGGAAGCTGACAGGACTGGAGTCCTGTGGAGTCCTTCTGGACTAGGTTAGCTGCCTGGACCTCACAGGATCCGATCGAACAGGAGTCGGAGAACGAGGGCGAGGCGGAGGCCGGAGAGGCTCCTTCCGAGGAGCCGGTGGAGAGAGCAGCCGGCTATGTCCTGGTGTCCTCGAGGCGTGGGGCAGTCAGGCTGCATCGATCTGGCAAAGAGGGCTGCTGCAGGCTCTGCTGGCCTGTCTCGAAGGGACGATGGGCTCGAGCCGACGATTCGAGTGAGAGTCATCTGACTCACCTTGGATGAAAAGGTTTTGCCCTCAAAGGAGTATCTGGAGAAGAAACTGCAAGAAGTGGAACACGGCGAATTTAAAGCTGAATCACCGCAGGAGGTGACCACCCGAGACGAACTAGATCCAGATACTTTGGTTCCGGTGTGGGACTCGAAAGGTGTTATGACAGTCAAGCGTGGAAGTTCTCGTGTAGCCCTTTCTTCAAACCCAGAGGAACTTCGACGCCGCTTGAACATTATGATCAACGCCTATCTCATGCTGAAACTTGAGTTTCCAGGGCGCTCGGACCTGCAGGATCTCGAAGCTGACCTCTTCGAGCGATACAAGGAGTACCTGCTGGGAGATTATGTGCACAACCTGCAGGCTCGCGACTCTGCTGATAGTGTTGTTCATACACCACCCTGGCAGCTGGTTCTCTCCTACGAGCAAGCAGTTCGGAAGCAGGCTTTTCATTACATGGTGACGGATTCCATTGCTATGGGTGCGGCCTGGGAGAAAGCTTGGAAAGATCCAGTGACTAAGGAGCGGCACTTCTCTACACCATTGTCACTGTATGCCAAGCGCAACTCCGGGTCTCCCCCCACGCGAGACTTGGACTACACGACCTCCAGGCAGGGGTCAGAGGGGCAGCAAGGGAAACCGTGGGACGTCTCGCACCTTTAAGGGGCACGCGGCTACCAGGGCCGGGGAACCCATCTGTTTCAGATTCAACACCGAGGAGGGTTGTTCCTTGGCCAACTGCAAGTTCAAGCATTTGTGTAGCTGTTGCTTTGATCATAACCATAACCTCATCGGCTGCCAGAAGCGCAAGCCCGCGGACACAGCGGGGAAGCACTGACTCGGCACCGACGGGGGCGTGGCGTTTCACGGCGGGGAGCTTCGAGTCCTTTACTTGTTTTGCGGCAAACGGCGCAAACATTCCCTGGACTCCTGGCTGGCTGAATTAGCATCCTCGCAGGGCGTCCCACTTAAGGTGGATGCCATCGACATTATTCGCAAGCCTTTTACTGATTTGTCAAATCCGAAACATCAGGACTTTTTCCTTTCGAGGGTTCGTTCGGGGAGTTACTTTGCGGTGATTCTAAGTCCTCCCCGCTCAACCTTTAGTCGAGCACCCTGGCGCAACAACCGCGGGCCACAGCCGCTGCGGTCCTTCGATCATCCAGATGGGTTGCCTGGACTGTGCTGGAGTCAGCGACGCAAGGCTCAGCTGGGCAACAACCTCGCCGACTTCTCCATGCGCATTGCTGCATGTGGCAACGTGCATCCTTCAGGGCGATTGCATCGCATCCACGCGCGCAGCACTTCGTCTTCCACCAGGCGGACTTTGGCACTCCATATCCCAAGCCGACGAGGCTGCTGCTGGCAACAAAGCAGCCGCCGTTGCGCTTCATGCACTCCGGGCTGCCGATCTTCGACGACCTTGGCTACTACAAGGGGCCGCTGCCACGGCACGCGACCGCGGGCCGCATGACCAAACAAGCTGGAGCCCACTTTGCGACAACTGGCACCGAGCAATGGCCCTCAGCCTTCTGCAAATGGGTGGCCACGACCGTCTTAGACGACTTCCTCACTTCGGCCTCTACTGCTGCCGATGGGGATTCTCTCGACACGGAGTCCGAATCTTCGGAGATGGGGGAGAGCTCTGGTGGTAAGATCTTTCGCTTTAACCCGGTCACGGAATCTACCCTGGAACCTGGGGGACAGCTGAGTGAGGCGGAGGGGCTATCGCTGGGATATCTCAAGAGAGGCTATGTGACGGGAGATGAATTGTTGCAGCTCTCAGAGATGCTTCCACGGATAAGGGAATCCGCTCTTCAGGTGGAAGGCCAGCGATCCTTCACCACGGGAGCCTACATCCACCAGGAGGTCGTGGGACTAAGGAGGAATCTCAGAAATCACCGATGGGCGACTGAACTCCTGGCGAGGACGATGGCGGCATCCTTCCCGGGAAAAGTCTTCTCTTCCTTGGCGCTTTTCAGAGACCTCAAGCAGCCAGCCCACCGAGACTCCACGAACGGGCCTTGGGAAAACCTTCTTCTGGCGTGCACGGAGTTCGGGGGCGGTGGCCTTTGGATCCAGTCGGATGGCGGGCCGGTCAAGCGACGAATATTCGACAAGGACGTGGAGGGGAAGGTCTTGGGATGGAAGAAGGGGAAGATAGCCTTCGATGCACACCGCTGGCACTCTACAGAGGACTGGACCGGAACGCGGCTGGTTCTGGCCGGGTACACGGTGGCGGGCCTGGAGAATCTCGGTGCTGGTGACAGGAAGCTGCTATGGAGCCGGGGCTTCACGCTGAGCACAGCGCCGGAGAAATCCTTGGAACCGGAGGTAGATCCCACCTGGCCGCCGATCCCGGGCGGGGAAGGGCCCGCCAGACTGTGCCGAGAGCCTTGGGGAAGCAAGCCGTTTCATGATGGGGCGGGGCTTTGCTCGCCGGGGAGATGGGACCCGCAGCAACGGAAGTACTGCAACGCACCTGGCTGGGAGGAGCTACGGCGGCGCCTGGAGGACATCATCTTGGACCACGCCGGGGGGGAAACCCAGCTGGACAGGATTCCCTTCGAGATGGCCGCAAAGGGGGAGCTTGGATGTGGGCTGGTCTCGGATCCTGCCCTTCATCAGAAGCTGGTTGGAGCGATGGTGGAGCATCTCCAGCGAAAGGATCCGGACCAGGCGGACTTGGACTGTGTGGATCCGGGCCAACCCTTTAGGCTACGCCTTCTTTCGGCATTGTTGAGGGATGCTTCGGATCCGGATTGGGGGGTCTTCCTTGAGGGGATTGAGGGCTTTCCGGTCGGTATTAAGCATCCTCTTCCAAGAACTCGGGAAATCTTCGAATCACAGACAAAGTGGAAGCTGGAGCTGGGGCCGATGTGTATCTTCAAGGAAACCAGGGAAAGGCTGCCCTTGTAACTGCAGATGAAGGCATGCGGCAGCAAAGGATTCCCCAGCATGTACATGGAAGTGCTAATGGCACGACACTGTAACTGAAGCATTTCCATGGCGACCTTGTAAAGAATCCGTTAGAGCAGCTGCACCAGGAAGCCGATTGCATAGCACACCGCACCCAATGTACAGCTTTAGCTGCATGTTGACTGCACATTTCAGCCATCTGCGAATTTTGGGATGCCTTCAATTCATTGAGTCCAGTGGTCCACGGCAACTGATTGCGTACACCGCATTTAGAATATCCTCAACAATTTCAAGAAAAGGCTCTGATACGCTTTTGTACAATTTCCCTCGCTCAGGGCCCGGCAGCAACGTCCAAGCTTCTTCTCAAATGCAGGAAGCAGAGGTGTGAGCCCATGCCATTGCATAGGTTTTAAATAAGCCCTGCTGCGCTCCAATGGGCAGTTGCACCTGCACCGTCCACTTCATGAGCATGTTCCAAGCAAGCATCACAACCGTTTTATGCAGTGCATCGCCGAGGTTCTTCCAGTATTTAGGAATTTTGTTGCTACCTTGTAATGCACAAAGAGCCATGGCATCAGCCATGGCATCAGATTGCCCTGAACCAAAAGCCAACCACACCCAAACAACAAACGAACCACAAGCCCCGACGTCACCCCGAACTACTTTGCTTACAGGTTGCATCGAGAAGCCCTGCCAAACAAAGCCGTTCGATCCTTGCCATGCCATATCCGTTCGTTCGAGTATTCTCGCTGGCATGGAAAATCCGCCGGATCGATTCTCCCCAAGTAGAAATCTCGAGTTCCGACATCGCGCTGCAAGTGACCACGTGTCCCCCGATTACCAGCAGTGCTGAACACTGGAAACCATGTCGTCGATATTGATTATGTTTGTTTGCCGACCATGCGTTTTGGAGCGGGGATTTGCACTTAGGTGCTGTGCGCCTGTGTGCTTAGCCATACGGCTCCAGGTTGAACATCAGCAAGAATCAATCGTTCACCTTTCACCAGGCACCCTGAAGTCCTGAAGTAGTTGCTTCAACTTGTTTGTGACCTTGCAATTCGTATTGCACCACAGATTGACTGCCATTGTGTGGGTGCTGTGGGGATGATTTCTCCCCACTTCGCAACCATACAAGCGCGATGCATTTTTGCATGATGTTTCGGCATTGATCTTCTGCTGTGTTGGAAGATGGCAGCTTCGATGCAAATGCGATGTCAAGCGTAATTTGTGGTCATTACGGGCCGTGGATCCTGTGTCGGTTTGCATCAGGTAACAGCCGTGCCAGTTTCACGGCACCATGTATGTCTTCGAGCAAACGAATGCGGGAAGAGGGCATCGCACGCCCAGAGGCCCGCTCTCATTCTTCATGAATAGTTGGCAGAGCCGAGTCAGCCATACATGATTCAGCGGTTTGTACTGAAGTTTTCGCTGCTTTTACGAATGCAGGCAGGAACTTCCTTTGCAACCGCTGGTGCACCGAAATTCCGCGTGGACTGTCTTGGCGGCGTCCACTTTCATGGCACCGTTGAAGCGCCGCCGAGAAGGCTGTTGTGCTTAGGAAGTGCATTCACGTAGTGATAGGCAGTTGTGAAACGGATGTTGCGATGTTTGCAGGTCGACCTCTCCAAGCAGCTGCCGGAGAGGTGCTCCGAGTCTTCATTGTTTGTTTTCGTCGTACGTCATGAGCATGTCCACAAAGCCAGGTCTCAGCCGTGTCCCTGGACGAGGTCTTGGCCAATCGTTTGAAATCAGTCGAGTGCGAAAGCCACTTGCATGTAAGGAGGTGGTGTCTCATGGTACCATGAATGACGATGAACCGAAGCTCGGCTAGAACAACGCATGCGCATTCTCTGCACAACTCTGCATTTCAAGAACTGCATGCATGATTGCTGCAGGAATACAGTTCTCCGGTATGGAAACCTGGCTGCAATACAGAGGGTCATGCCACTTGGAGGCGGCAAGTCGGCAAGTCACAATCTGAGGCGTGACCAATGGTTCTTTGTTGCCGTGGACTGGTGCCAAACTTCCAGACTTGCTGCCAGAGGCGGAGCCGTTTCTTGCAGTTGTTGGTTTCGATTTCAGAATGCATGTCCGCAACTATCAGGTGCACTTTTCTGGAAAGGTTCTGCCTCCGGAGGCAATGCTGCATTTTCCGCCGCACACGTCGAAGCCGTTTCGAAACCCTTTGACACCAGGCAGCTGGTTGCGGTCCGGACCAGCTCGCCTTCTTACTGAGCATGCTGGAAACGGAAGAGGCCGGTGAAACACGGGCAGCATGAAATTCGAAGTATGTCCGGAGTAGCATCATTCACCGAAGGTCGACTTCGTCATAGCTCCGGCGAAGGATGCCTTTCACCCAGGAGCTCGTTGTCAGTAGCATGTGCATGTGCGTGTGTGTGTGTGTGTGCGCGTGTCTCTCTGTGGGTGTGTGTGTGTGTGTGTTTCCGAGTGTTTCTGTTGAGTCTGCTTGGAGACTCAGGTTGGCTTGGAGTTGCCGCAGGGTCTAGTTGCCGCTGCTGTCCTCCGAGAGGCATTTCGAAGATTGTACCGTGGTTGGGGTTTGTGGACACTGAGTCGATTGGCAGGATGCTCGCGATGCGTTTGTCTCGGCCTCAGTCTCTCGACAGCTCGGCACTTGGATTATCCCATGGCATAAAATTCAGGTCGTTCGACCGCAGTTGGCACATGTTGGATCGCTTTCTGCTCGGGCCCCTTCTTATCAGAAGGACCTAGCCCAGCTGTGC